TCAACATTCATATGTTCACGCAAATAAACTAACGGAGTAAATAAAAGCACAATCTTGGGATAATGCTTTGCTTCCTGGGGGAGAAGATGTTTTGAAGAATTCATGTGCATAAGGAAGAGGCTAAAACCAGAAGGGGAGCTGGGCCTTTAAACTGAGAGGAAGACACAGGCCCCCATAGGCCCCCACTGCCGCCCTGAGGGAATCAGAAGCGGGGGGTGTCTCTGAGTGCTCCGGGAGAGGGCAGGGGGCCCTGCTGGCACAGGCACACTGCAGTTGACGCCTCCTGGGCTCTGTGGGTGCAGCTTGGACAAGGCTCAGCTGCCTGGAGACAAGGGGAGGGCGAGGCAGGAGTGAGCAGGGCAGGGGAGCATGAAGTGCGCGCAGGCACTCTCCCTCCTGTCTCTGCAAGTCTGCTTGCAAGTGGCCGGAGGAGGGAGGGAGGTTCCTCCCACAGGGCAATCTGTGTGGCACAGCCCGGGCACAGGGGTGCAGAGCAGAAAGGACCATGGCTGGGAGGACGAGAGCTGCTCTGTACTTCAGAAAGAGAAGCCAGGGGTGTCACTGGAATAATGAAATTGGAGGTTATGGCCCTGGGGGTGCCTCCCCTCTGCCCTGTGAACAGACTGACAGACGGGCGGGGATAGAGGCCTTGGCACCTGCTTCTGGAGGGGAGGGGCTGACTGCAGGAGGGGCAGGGAGGGCTGGGAAGGGGGGGCTGCTGGGCCTCGGAGGGGCCCGGCAGACAGCCCCGCTGTCCTGGGGCAGAGAGTCGACGGCAGGTGCAGGTACAGCCGGGAGGGGCCTCGAGGCTGGTTTAAAGACCGAGCGGTGGTAGCTAGGCAGGCGGCCTCAGCTTTCTTTCCATGGGCCAGAGGTCTCGACACAGGGCTCGGGACGAGGGTGACGGCCGGTGCCCGGCGAGCCTAGAGAAACGTGGTCACGGGGCACCCTGGGGACAGGGAACCCTGAAGTATCTAAAGGGTCCCGAGGAACCAGCAGATCGTGGGCATGGCTTTCGGCTTGTAAAAGCAAAAACCGTTCAAGAGTCCTCCACAATCAAGAAGCCAGGTCAGCAGAGGTATTTTTATGAAGGTCAGTATAGCGACAACAGGCTTATTTGTCCTTTCTCCTCTTGACCTGCTTCTTTCTGATGCCGTTAGAGCAACAAAGAACAGAAAAGCCTGGTGTGTAATCAGAATAATGAAACTTGAGATGACGGTCTCAGTCACATGTTGGCTTTGCTGCTGTGTAAAGCGAAGGCCCACTGGCCTGTTGCTGGGTGCCTGTGCAGACCCTCAAAGCTCGCGCCCCCAATGATGCTGGGGGGTGGGGAGGTCTCCTGAGATACAGGTCAGCTGGCCTGGTTCTGCTGCAGGCCCAGAGGGAAGCATTCTACTCCGGCTTTTCTTCTGAAGCTATGGAAATGTCCCCAAGAGTAGCAAGACCTGGCTGGAGTGGACCCCCACCCCCACTTCCACAGCTATTGACATTTGCAGATCTGGTTTCATTTAACTTCCTTGCCCCCATTTTTCTGCGGTTGAAGTATTTTAAAGCAACTTGGAAATATTTTAAGACTCCAGCTCTAAACATTTAAGCATTTAGAAAATAGAACTGCAATACTATTATTACAGCAGTGAGATGAACCAAAACGACCTAAGATCACTTTGTTCCCAGCCCGCGTTCAATTTTCCCCCATTATCTGAAAAAAGCCATTTTAAAGTTTATTTGCTCACTCAGGCTCAAGACAAGATTCTCCCATGGTATTTGGTCAACATTTCTAGTACGCCTTTGAAATTCTGCGCCCGCTTCTGTCCCAGCCCCAGGCAATCTAATCCCGTTCCCTTGGGAGGTGGGTGGGGCGGGAGGTGGGTGAGGATGGAATGTCCCTTCCCGAGGACAACTCAAGATGGCCGCCCACAAGCGCCCTCACAGACAACAGCAGGAGCGGGTGGAGCGAGAGCAGAGGGGAGAGCTGAGCTTTGCTGTAAATGCAGGATGTCAGCTCCCTACCTGAGTTACCAACCCAAATATAGCCCAGCCTACAGAGAGGGAAATGTCTTTGAAACCAACGGCCCCTTGGCTGTGTGGAACAACTTCAAGCGTGCACTTGGTGATGATGTTTGCGATTCTGGGTCAAAGGAAAGTAAGTCCAGGGCTCAAGGGGGATGCGGGTTTCTCAAGGCAAGAGAATGTACCCTGGACTGAGGCCCAGGGACCCCCGGTATGAAACCCTCTGCCTGCTTCTGCCAGTCAGACCCCCAGTCGGTGAGAGCTCTTTGTGCAATGAGAGACCTGCGAGCATTTTGCAAAGCAACAAGTGGACATCTGTGGCGGCAGGTGTCCGGTTCGCAGCACTGCCTGCAGGGTAAGAGCGAGACGGGTTTGGGATTTACTATTATTATTAGGTGAGCAGAATGCTGCGGCATGTCATAGCAGTAAACGATGTACGTTGATAACAATGATTTCATGGTGTAGGCAATCATAAACCTTCAACTGATATAGAGCCCAGCTTCCAAAGGGCTCAGAACATTGCAGAATACGATTGATTAATGATATTAATTATTATGAAGAAACCTGGAGCTCCTCCAGGTGATAATTCTCCCCCAGATCATAACTGCTAGTGCTTAGAGACCCAGAGAGGAGCTATCTGCATGGGAAGCCACCACCATAGGTCCCTAACACGCGTCTCTTTCCACTGGGCTTTAGAATCTGGGTCTCCATCCCCCGCGTCAGCCTCAGGGAGGTGATGGGATTGGTACCTGTAGCTTCTGGGTTGGCGTACGGGCTCTTATCCTCATTTTCATTGGGCTGGAGGTCATCCATGTTGATCTAGGCAGCCAAAGGGGAGGAGGAAGAGTCCAGTTAGCCGTGCACCACAGTTTGGAGGTGTGGAGTAACCTCGAAATTGCACTGTAGTCAGAGGCGGAGCTGTTCACTCCCGAATGAACCCTGGTTCCGCAGAACTCATCCTTCAAGGCAGCAACAGAGTCTGGATGCCACGGGCCTGCTTTCTCTTCACAGTCCTCGTTCTCCCGCTCCATCACCCCAGGCGCTTTCCTCCCTTTTCCAGTTGCACTGGTGCCTGGCCTGTGCCCTCCTCTTGTTACAGCCCCCCCAGCTCCTGGGTGAAGGCGGCTACTCACCTTGGTGGTGGGTGGGGACTCTCCATCGGCTGTGATGGACTTCAGCTCGATTTTCTCCTCTTTGGCCTCTTCCACCACCACTGGCTTCTCCACCACCTCTTGTTTCTTCTCTGGGCTGGCAGTCCTGGCCGGTCAGCAGGAGAAAAAATAAATGAATGTTTACTGGCATGACAGGGATCAGAGTGCCCTGTGGTGTGGTGGCCACGTGCCCATGTTCCGTCAGTAGCAGATTCCCCCGGCCTCTGTCCACCTCCCTTCACCCGGGGCACACGGCACATGGCTCTGCCTGGCCCTCAGCCAGCCCAGGGTCTGTCTAAGCCACAGCAAGGCTTTGATCGCACGCAGGAGCGGTTCCTGGAGAGCTCTGCTCAGGACCCAGCGGATGTGTGGGTGACAGGGGACGTGCTGCGTCAGCCCTCGCTAGATGTCGCCAGGCTCCATCTCATGACCCAGCACGACCTCTCTTACTGATAGAGAATGCCCTCACTTCCTAACAGGCACCTTTGTAATGACAACACCTTTGTAAAAGTTGTCATCCGCGGTGGCCTCCACGGTAGAGCAAGGCCGAGGAATGAGGGGAGAGCCCCAGCTCACTGTGGGAAACCCTATATCCAGGGCCCCTCTTGGAGCCATGGCCAAGGGGTGCCAGGGTGTGCCTCGCTCAGCATCCACGGGAGTGGCGCTCTGGAACGGGACCCGGGGGCCTGGTGAGCGTAGAGGGTTACCTGGCCAGCTTCTTTCTTTCCTTCTCTTCTTCCTCCTCCTTCTGGGCAGAGGTGAGGCTCTCGGCATCAGCCAGGTTGTCCACAGCAATGGCCAAGAACACATTCAGCAGGATATCTGTTTGTGTCCATTCTTAAAGAAAACGACCCTTGGCCTTAGGGTTTTTAACGGGCACGGAGGGTGGTCATGGGGTGGGGCGGTGCAGGGCATGCAAGCAGCATTCCCCAGCAGCAAGTTCAACGGCGACCTCCTCTGAGGGGCCCCAAGCCCAGTGGGGCCCTCCTCTGTTCCCCCCCGCCCCCCCCCGCCCCTTCCCAGCTAACTGGGGATTGTCCCGGGGGTTGAGGGAAGGCTGGAACGGTGGGGTGGGGGCGGGGGGGAGGGCCCACAAGCCTGCTTTGCTCTTTAATTGCAAGGTTTCATTATTGGTTTCCTCACTGAGCTGTAATGGACATTATCAACAGCACTGTCTCCAGCAGAAGGCAGAATGCTCTCGAGAGTGGTTCATCATAACTGGGCGCTGGAGGCGGCCATGATCTCTGCCAACTCTTAATGTGAACCCGTGCATACAGAGACCCTGGGAGGGTCCAGCGGGACCTGACCAAAGCTTACAAGTGCCTCATCTCGGCAGCTCTTCGCCCATCCCGTCCCCAACCCTGAACCAGAAGCGCTGTGAGTTTGGGCCAAGAATGTGGTCTCAGTGCTGGCCGTTCTCCCCCACGGACCCAGACACCCATGCCACTACCCGCAGGGGGAGACTGCAGCCTGGTGGCTGGGCACAGAGGGCTTGTCCACGGGTGCTCCTGCCCACTGCCCCCTTGGGCCCGTGCTCTGTGGCAGGGACTCTGCATACACCACCCATGAACCCTCACCAGGACCCGGTAAGTAGGAGGCACTATCATTTTATCGCCTCACTTTACAGTCCGTGAGGCAGAGAACCTTTGGTTGGTTTGCCTGAGCCCACCAGCAGGTAAAATGTGCAGTCTGTCAGCTGGATGAGTGGCCACGCTTTGGGTGCTACAGTATGTTGTGATTTAAACCCAAATCCTGGACCAGAGCTGCTTCTAGCCTGCTCTGCACACGGCCCTCATGGGAGACGGAAGGACAGGGGGACAGAAGAGCACCCACTGCCGAGGCCCTGGAAGCCAGCCGTGGCCGGCACCAGCAGGCATCTGTGGGGAAACCTGTCCAGCCCTGTCCGGGATCGAAATCCAGGCTCCAGAGGGAGGGCGCTGGCCGGACAGCAGGGAGAGAGGAAGGTCATCTCAAGGACGGTGGCTGAGTGCTCCCGAACCGGGTGTCCTGCCTGCAGGGGCTGCCACAGGCCAGGGCAGGCTCAGGTGAGTGCCCCTCAGGGCCTGTGTGAGCAGCTGCACACACACACCGCCAGGGGGCGTCGTACCCCTAGACTAGACCTGGGGGGGGCACCCGCTGCCCACATGGATTCAGGAGGGTGAACTTACACCCTGCCCACGCCAACGCTCCAGGCTTCCACCAAGACCTGCCTCCACAGCGAAGGGGATTGTGGGCTGGGGGATGTTTTCTCCTCCATACGTGCCTCTCCCCGGCCCGGGGGCCCTGTGGACCCGCCACCCTGGTTTTCACCCCTGAGTCAGCATCTGCTGGGCACAGCTATTTGGCATGGTGCTGCAGGCTGAGGAAGGGGAGGGCAGCGGGGTGGGGAGGCAGGAGCAAAGGATACAATTTCCACAGATGAAGAGGATGATGAAGTAAATACAGACTAACATCCCTGGAAAAGAGGGGCCGCCATAAGCCATGATCCCATCATACATCACCGAATTCCAGTCCTCCCCGGTCAGGATCTGAATGACACATTCCCACCAATAAGGGACACAGCGTTAGACCAACAGCAAACCCCAAAACTCCCCTGCCCTGCCCTGCCCCCACTGTGTTAACAAAAATGTCTCAAATCTTTTTTCTACCTCTTCCGCCCACTCCCGGCCCTGGATTCTCATCCCTGGGGCTCTAAACTATTGACCCGAGCGAGCTGAACCCCATCCTTAGGCCAAAGGCAGCAATATATTCTCCTGCATGATATTTATAATGGTCACCAGTGTTCTATTTTGAGGGGTGACTGAAATGACTTGCTGGCTCTCCCTCCCACATGGAAGGCATGCGAGGGCCATTTAGCCATGCCCGGGGTGCAGGCATTGAGCCCCCCTTTACAAATGTGAATGTGCTCACTGTGAGGGTAATGTTGCCCCAGTTTCGCCCAAACACTAGTCAGTTGGGATCAATCTCAAGGTTTTGGCCATGTCCATATATCTTTGACTTTTAGGTGTATGTCAATCTGCTTTTACACGTAAACAGGGGTCACTTGAGCTTAGCCCTAAGTGAAACACCTATGCAATCACAAGACCTGGGGCTGCCGACCTTGTTATCAAAGGGCAAACTTGGGGCACAGGAAAGGCAGCTGCTTCGTCCTCAGCTTTCCCATAGAACAGTCTGATTTTCTTTGCTGTCATTGGGGCTTCCACGTAGAACGTGTTTGGAAAAGACGTGCCGAGAAAGTTACGCAGTTACGCTGCTCAATGGGCTCTTTTTTCCACTGGTCCATGCAACAGTGGGAGTCCATGGGGGACGGAGTGGGGACACCCTGGGGAGAAGCCAAGCCTTTCCCGGCAGGCACCCTCCACGGCTGACCTAGGCTGACTGGGGCTGCCCTGGGCGAGGGTCCAGCTTCCCACCTTTTCAAGGCTGCTTCCTCCTTCGCCCACCCTCCACCCCCTTCCGCCACCCACCTCCCGGCCAGAGCCCAGCAGAGAAGAGACCGTACCTGAAACACGGTGAGAAGGGACTGGGGGAAGTTGTCGAACGTGCTCCTCCGGGTCTGCATCTCATCAAAGTTGAACTTTCCTCCAAACAGCTGCATCCCCAGGAGCGAGAAGATGATGATGAAGAGGAAGAGCAGCAGCAGCAGAGAGGCGATGGAGCGCACAGAGTTCAGCAGGGAGGCCACCAGGTTGCTCAAGGAGTTCCAGTACCTGAGGACCACAGAGGGTGGTGTCTGGCCCGGCGCTCTGCACCACGTCACCGCCCCCACTGCGAAACCTTAAGTCACATTTCGGAGTCGTCTTTCCTTTCCTGGGCACAGTGGCGGAGGTACGAGCTGCAGGTCTGAAACTGGTTCCAGGCCACAGAATCAGTGTTGTGTGATGCAGACGAGCCCAGGAGTCAGTGGTGTCCCGACCTGTCTCTGCCACACGCTAGCTGCCCTGGGCCTCTGACGAGCCGCTTAGCTTTCCTTTCTGCCTCCCTGCCTGTGCCATAGCGGCAACAGTCATGTGCATTTCCTTGGGGTCCTGGGAGGATCCGGGTGAATTTCTTCCCCAGTCAAAGTGGTCTGCTGGGCCCTCCCTGGTGGTGCAGTGGGCTAAAGTGCAGCACCATGAAGTTTTTGGCAGCCACTGCCCCAGCCAGGGAGCTGACCCACAGGGCGCGGCAGACCTCTCCTATCTCCCCGCTGCTCCCCTCAGCCCTGTATGTCGATCTGCCTGTTGTGCTCCCCGTTCTGTCTCTGGTGAAGCCTCTCACTGCCCCTGCGCCTCTGGCCTGTATCCCAGTTCTGTATGTGCAGATAAATAAATCTTTAAAAAAAAAAAGAGTGGTCTGCTTTTCTTTGTTTACATTTCAGTTTTTGTATAGATTTTATTTGGATAAAAGGTTTCATGGCTAAGGAGGAATTTCAGAACTTTTTCAACTGTCCACTCAAGAGTGAAATCCTATGGAATCAGAGTGGAATTATTACTAGAGTCTCTGGACAAAGAACATTATTAATCATCATAGCTTTGAAAGCCCCCGTTATATTAGCTGGCACAGTTAACCAAGGGTAGTGACGGCCGCTATCCCTGTTGGTCTGTGGACAAGACGGATGTCCGGCTGGCCCAGGGGTAGCTGTCTAGCAGAGGCACGAGTTAGGTCACCCTTGGGTAAGAGAGTGTGCGCGTGGAAGGAGCTGGAAGTGTTGATGCTAAGTGGAAAAAGTCAGAAACAAAAGGACAAATCTCAGAGCGTTTCACTGAAATGGGAAATACAGACAAAGGCAAATCTTGAGAGCTGACCACAGAGATGAGGCACCCAGTGGGGTGCGTGTAAAGTGGGGGTGGGGGAGGAGACTAGTTCAGGGATGTGGTGATGGACGTGGGCATCTGGAGTCCGGGGTACATTGTGCAGTGAACGTGCCTGAGGGGAGAAGTCACCTACTGTCTGAAAATGAACAGCAATGCAAGAAAAAAGTACCACATTTTTAAATTAAATAATAATAATAATAATGATAATGATAATGATAATAATAATAATAATAATAATAATAATAATAATAATAATAAAAGAGAGGGAGCGTGGTTTTGTGGTTTCCCAAGTTTATCCTGCCCAAAGAATTGGTTTTCACAAAATCTCTCCTCTGGAGTTGTTGATTCAATAGCTGTAGTTGGGGCCCAGAGAACCTTGTAATCAGCATCACAGACGATTCTGCCAAGCAGATGAACTTGGGAACTCCCAGGTTACAGCAACCCCATCCCACACGCTGTGGCTGGGGCCGCAGTGACGGGCTGGCAGTGGGGTTCCTTGGGGGAGAGGGCACCCACTCCTGTCGTCACAGCCCCACCTTCCACTGTCAACACAGGGGTCTTTCTTTACAGCCTTGGGGAGACCCCCGTCCCTGGGAGAAGGTGGGTGTGGGGGGGGTGGTTAGGGGTGGCCTTCAGTACCTATGAAGGGTGAGTTGGGTCGCGAGCTGGACGTCACGCTCCCAGCTCCCTGCAGCTGCACAGTGAACTGCGTTTTGTGCTGCCGAGTGCCGTGTGACCTGCCGACGCAGCCCACAGCAGCACACCAGGCTCGAGCCCCTCTTTCCAGAACTGCCTTCCAGATTGAATGACAGAAGCAGATGGGCCAACAGTTTGGGTGTAAACACGCACTTCTCCGCAACCTGGAGCCCGTAATGCTCCTTTCTCCTTCATAGATTCAGTCTCCCTCCACCTCTGCTTTGCCTGCCAGCCACACTTCCTCTGTGTGCAGAATATGAATATACATTCATTTGTATCTGTTCTAGAAATGCTCATAAGAGGTTTCCAATTGTGACAGGCTTGTCGCACTGGCAGAGGCGCTGAGTTCTCGAAGTTCTCCGGTGCTCAAGGACCCGCCTCTCACTGTCAACACAGCGGTCTGCCCCACATCACTGTCCCTAAAACAGTTCCGTGCAGCGACTCTGTGCAACCGGGCTGCAGTGGTCAGTCCACTTAAAGCTAGAAGCGAGGGGACCTCTCTGGAGCTTGCTCCCCTCCCCTCTCCACATAAAGCAACACCCCCAAACCGCCCGCCAATGAACCGGCTGGGGCGTCTGGGTGATGTGGAGATCTCCATTCCCAGGCCTGGCTCCAGAACTATGAAACCTTCATTTCTGGTGCTGGGGGCTGTAGAGCCTCGTCAGTAAACTGGTAGCCAGAAGCGGGAGCTTTCGAGCTCACCTGCACGGGTTGAGGCCCCTGGAGGTATTAGTGTGCTCAGTGGTCATGGAGCAGTGGTCATGGGCAGTGGTCATGGGCAAAGCCTTATGCTCGTGGAAGACTGTGGCCTTCATTTTCATGAGGCAAATGGACAAAAGGGAAATAACTCAACACCTGGCCTACCACTATTAAGGCTGAGAAGTGCCTGAGAGTTACGGGGTCCTTAAAGGGGTCCAGAAGGAAGGGGAGCCCAAGAAGTCAGCATGAAGCAAGGAGACCTTTGGCAGAAGGGAGCAGACCAGCAGGCAAAGAGGGAAGGTGTGGGCAGAGCCTGGCGGTGGGCCTGGGGTTCTGGGGGCGTGGAGCCAGGCACAGAGCTCTTCTCGAAGGGTGGGTAAGAAGAATGGCAAGGAGGGTACCGGAGTAGGGGAGATGGAAGAGCTGGTCACGGTCAAGGAACGTCTGGTGATGGGGCAGAGCGCTGGATCCCAAGAGACGTTTCTCGTGTTTCCCCGGCCCCCGCCTCGAGGGGTTTCCTGGGAAAGTTTGCACTCTTCTTAATCGACTGGGGTGGGGGGAGTGGTTCACCACATGCGATTTGTGGTGTGACAGAGCTCCTAATTCCCCACTCCATCATCTCCCCACCTTCATATGTGACAACTGTAGTTTCTGACTGACAGAGTCATCCTCCACCTTCCTCTCACATCCCACATCAGCGAAGCCTGCGGCTCCGTCTTCAAAGCACAGCTGAGTTTGGCCAGCCACTGCTCTGTGCCTCGCCCAGGCCACAGGCACCTCTCATCTGGATTTCTGCAGCAGCTCCTCACAGGTGGTGCTACTTCGGGCCTGTCCCCTGCAGCTATCTTGCAGACCACCCACCATTTCAGGTGAGAACCCTCGAGGGCACCTCGGAAGTGATAAAACAAACTACGGCACATTGTGAAAACAATCTGAGTCCACTGACATTAAAAAAGAGATTTTCCTGGGCCCTCCCTGTTGGCGCAACAGGTTGGGACCCAGCACTGCGAGCTGGCTGCAGTCTTTTCAGTGCTGGTTCAAACTCCCCCCCCGGAGATGACCACATGGCGCAGCAGACCTCTCCTGACCCGCCCACTGCTCCCCTCAGCAGTGCTTTGTCAGTCAGCCTGTTCTGCTCCCCACTCTGTCTCTGGTGAAGTCTCTCAACGCCTCTGCACCTCTGGCCTGTACCCTAGCTCTGTGTGCATAAATAAATCTTTAACATAAAAAGGCTTTCCACCAGAGTATCAAATGAACAAGCTACACACATGAAAGAATTGGGATCGTCATTCTGCAGCAGTAACTTGCTCAAATAAACAAGCTAAGCTCGTGGGTGAAAGGTCAACAGGCAGCAGGACACTCATGCAGCCTCAGCAGCACTGCGCAGGCCCTACTAGTTACAAAGGGAAAGGGTGCCTTGAGCCTGGAAAGTCAGACAGACACCCCCATGCCCGGCACCCCCCATGCAGAGCCACCAGTGATGAGACAGAAGGACACGTGCACCTGATGGACACAGCAGGCAGCACACGGCTGCAGCCAGCCGCCCCGCCCACAGCCACACTGTAGCGCAGGAGGCCACAAGCCTGTCCAAGTCCTCAAAACATGCCCCCTGGAAGGCCTAACAGCCGGTGGAACTGGGCCCCCGCCTCAGCGACCTCACTCCTCTCTGCCTGCTCGCTCAGCCTGCTGGCCCGCCAACCTCCAGAGTGCTCCCGCAGAGTGCTCCCGGGTGTGGTGCGGCCTGTTCGTCCCCACGGGCCTCGGCTCCGGACCCCTCCCCAGGGCCTCCTCCCTCCTCACCTCTCTGCCTCTTAGCCCACATGCCTGTGTCACTCTTCCCCACCGGAGAGATCCCTGACTCTGTTACTGCCCGGTTCCTATCGGAGCATCAGGCTGCAAGAGCAGGAGTTTGCCTGCTCTGTTCCCTCTTAGCGCTTAAAACTTTGCCAACCCCAAGGGGGGGGTGGTTGGCCAATGGTCCACACAGTGACGGAGTGAATCTTATTTAGGTGTCACACTGGAAGGGGCGGGAAGGAGACAGTTACAGACGCCTGTGTGTGGAGGAAGGGGTGTCTCTCCTGCACACACACACACGCACACACACACACACACGCTCACACCTCAGTGAAGCACATTCACCAGACAGGGAGGGGTGGCCACCCGCACGCTCCCATACCATTTCCATTCTCACAGCTCCCCTAAATCCATGGTCGAGAGGTTCGGGTTTCCTGACTGTTCCACCGCCCCCCAGAAAACAGGGTTACTATGTTTTGCTTTGCTTTTTCAATTTTGGGGTAGGATTTCCAGAAGGCTCTGTGAACAAGTGTCTCCCTGGGGTAGAACTGCCCTCTGGCGGCTCTAAGCCAACGGCGGCCGATCTGCGGACATGATCGGCCTTGTGAAAGGATGCGCTGCGGCAGGTGCGCTGAGCCAGCCCAGCCAGCCTCCTCGGCAGAAGGGAGCACCCAGGCCCAGTGACAGCTGAGGCTCGGGATGGCAGGCGGACACCATGGCTGCTT